CTCTCAAAAATAAATAAACATTAAAAAAATTTTTTTTAATAATCATCATCCTAATAAAAGAATAGGCTCACAGTTGTCCTTTAGTGTCACAAGTAAAACAAACAAACAAACAAACAAAAAATTGGCCTCCAATCGGTATCCTCTCTCATGGTCCTGTGGATGGACTTCCGGGCACTTCTCACCTGGAGCTTCTTGAGGTCGGCTGGAGCTGTGCTCATCTGAAGGCCCAACCAGGCCGGACGTCCCAGGTGACCCGCTCGCATGGTTGGCTGTCGATTCTGGCCGTCGAGTGGGGGCATAGCTGGGATTTTCAACCAGAGAGCCTACACGTGGGCTCTCCATATGGTTTGGGCTGAGAAGCAAAGCCAGCAGTGACATGGGGCGCAGGTTAGAGTCAGATCACATGGCTTTCAGCTTCCCACCTACGCACCCCCCCCCCAACACGCACACTTTTTGCTCTGTAAATTACTCCTCAGCCTCTAGGGCACAATGTGAACATTTATGCCTTTTATACCCTCCCTGCCCGCACAGCCATCCTTTGATTCCCAGTTTCAGGTTTGAGCCCAGCGCCCAGGTCATCCACCCCCCATCCACCCCCTCATCCTATGGTGACGTGGGACATGGGACATGACCACCCGTGCAGATCCAGTAACCCTTCACAAGCCTTCGTTCCGTCCGCCTCGTCTCCTTGGAAGGAATGTGTCTCCCACCCCTTTATAGCAAGAGGCTGTGCAACTTGCTTGGCCAGTGGGATGAAGGCACACAGACCACAGAGGCTTGAGATGCACCATTGCAGTTGGGCTCACACCTCTGCCATTACTATGAGAAGAATATTCCTGGGATAGGCCGTTGGTCCCAAGCACTGGATGCACCTGCCGGGGCCAGCCAGGATCAGCCCAGCCACAAACACCTGAGGGAGCCCAGCCAAGATCAGCAAGCCATCCAACCATGCGCAGCCCCAGGCAGTCCAGCTCCATGGGACCCCGGTCGGTCGTACAGAAGTCAGCTAGGATCAGCAGAGCCTTCCGGCCACAATCAGCTGACCCCCGGATGCACCCGCTAAATAAACATCCGTATGTGTACATCACACGCAGATTTGGGTTATTCTCGGACCAGAGTAAACGGATACATTAGCAGCAGTATAGCCGTGAGTCCGTCATCACTACATGATTGCAGTGTGACTAAGTGATAAAGAATTGTACCCAGAACCAGATGTGAAATGTACATGCCCCAGGGGGTGCCTGGGGGGCCCCGTCGTTAAGCGTCTGACTTCAGGTCACCGTCTCGAGGTTCGCATCGGGCTCTGCACTGACAGCGTGGAGCCTGCTTGGGATTCTCTCTCCCTCTCTCTCTCTCTGCCCCTCCCCCCCACTCACACGCTCTCACACTTTCTCTCTAAATAAATAAATAAATATATACATATATTTGAAATGTACATGACCCGGAAGGCTAAAGACAGTTTTACAACTATGTAAGTTTCAGGATGATGTAGCTGGAGGGGGAGTGGGTTTAAAAGGCTCATGCTCCGGACTTTCCGTGACTTGGCTGGAGTTCACCAAGCTTTTTTTTTTTCTTTTTCCAGAGGCTAGCTGACTTGTAACATTGCAACAGAACAAATGCAGAAGCAACTATAAGAACCCAGTTGTCTTCTATTGAGCCAGACGTTAAATATTCTCAGAAATGTAAAGTGATGTCACTCTTCTCATTACTTTTTTTTTTTTTAATTTTGGAAAATACAGCATTTTTCATTCGAAATGTTATTTATGTTGGGGCGCCTGGGTGGCTCGGCTGGTGAAGTGTCCGACTTCGGCTCAGGTCATGATCTCACGGCTTGTGGGTTCGAACCCCTCATCGGGCTCTGTGCTGACAGCTCGGAGCTTGGAGCCTGCTTCGGAATCTGTGTCTCCCTCTCTCTCTGCCCCTCCCCGGCTCGTGCTCTGTCTCTCTCTCTTGAAAATAAACACTTAAAAATTTTTAATAAAATAAAATGTTATTTATGTTAAAACGCAATGAGTTTCCAAATGTCCATCAGCAGACGAATGGATGAACAAAATGTGACACAACGTGCATTCAGTGGAATATCACTCGGCCTTAAAAAGGATGGAAATTCTGATACACAATACAACGTGGATGAAACTTGACAACTTGATGCTAAGTGAAATGAGACAGGGGCGCCTGGGTGGCGCAGTCGGTTAAGCGTCCGACTTCAGCCAGGTCACGATCTCGCGGTCCGTGAGTTCGAGCCCCGCGTCGGGCTCTGGGCTGATGGCTCAGAGCTTGGAGCCTGTTTCCGATTCTGTGTCTCCCTCTCTCTCTGCCCCTCCCCCGTTCATGCTCTGTCTCTCTCTGTCCCAAAAATAAACGTTGAAAAAAAAAAAATTAAAGAAATGAGACAGGCACTCACATTGTTCGACTGCACTTAAATGAGGCACAGAGAAGAGGTAAATTCACAGAGACAGAAAGAATAGAGGTTGCCTGGAGTGGGGGAGGTGGGGAAATGGAGAGTATTGTTTGATACAAAGTTTCAGTTTGGGGAAATGAAAACATTCTGGAAACCCCGTGGCAGTGACGGTCCCACAACAAGGTGAATGTATTTCATGCCACTAACTGCACACCTAAAATATAGGACATGGCACATTTTATGTCCTGAAATCATTGTTTGCACTATATGCTAACGAACTTGGATGCAACTTTTAAGAAATAAAAAATTAAAAAAAAAAATTTTAAATAAAAATAAAGAAATGGCCCCCCAAAATGTAGTTTTTACATTTCTTCTGGCCAAAGCAGGTGGGCGCCCTCTGGTGGGAGTACAGGGTATCGGTTGGCGGCGCAAAATTTCTCCGGAATTTTCAATTCTGAAGACGGAGGCAGATGTGAGGCAGCTGATATGAGGACTTTATTTCAGCAGATCAACTTTAAACCCTGAACTATGCCTCTTGTCGTGCACATTCACTCACACACACGCACGCGCGCACACACAATTACAGACACAACGAGACCCTTGCAAACGCACACAGACACGATCACACATACAAAAAACTCTCCCAAAGACCCACATAGGTACACACACAGAGGGACACAGGGGCGCCTGGGTGGCTCAGTCAGCTAAGCTTCCCGACTCTTGATTTCAGCTCGGGTCTTGATCTGAGGGCCATGAGTTCAAGCCCTGCCCTGGGCGTAAAGCCTACTAAGAAAAACAAACAAACAAACAAACAAACAACAACAAAAACAAGGAGACACGGACACAGTCACTTACACACACGACACTGAAAACAGCGTATGATTAACAAAGGGGACTTAGTAGACCAGCGCCGTTCTCTATTTTTAAAAAATCGTAATGGAAAATGGTTTCTTCCCAAAGCCATTAAATAAACGTTGAACAAGTAATTAAGATGAATCTCGGTTGGGCAGCATGCCCGACTTGAGGTCCACAATCCCTTAGCTGAAGCCCTTGGGGACAGACGCCTTTTGGAACTCAGAAGTGTTCCAATTTTAGAAAGGCGATTCTGAGCAAATGCCACATTTTATGTAACACTCCCAGGGGTCTGAGGCAGCCCCCTCCCCACCAGACATGTTAATATATTTGCAGCAACACCCCGTGAAAGTTCACACCAACGGAGATAAATAAATAATAATAAATAAATAATAATTTATAATAAAGAAAGAAAGAAAGTTTAACCCCAAATCGGTATGGGAAGATCATCTTTCCCTTCAACAAACTTACGAATTAGCGCCAGTCCAGAATTAAAAAAA